CTAGAGCTGAAAGAGTTTTACTATTACGATAATTGCAATATTCGTACGATAATTTTCATATGTAAATCATCCATGAACATAACGCTTCTGATTACTAAATTTATACGTAACAAACTTAATTCTGGGGAATATTAGTTTATGGAAATCTATAGTCATTACTTATGAGTCAGAAAATAAACCACTAGTGCATAAAATTTTGTATGTATCTCGTGCGTGAAATGCGTTTATGGCCTTCAGCGTGTAATGGCCCTCGGCTAGCGCCATCGGGCCATTATTCACGCCACAGGCCATAAACGCCTACTTTACGCCCTTGATACATAAATAACTATTTTCCTCCCGCAAGAAGCCGCTAAAATTGAGAGGAACCTCATTTACATTCTTATTATACTGATTTCATCTTCGAATCAACTTCAAATTATGACTTCTCGATGATATGCCATACATAATACTTTATTTAAGTTCTATTGGTCAGCCTTACGGAGCGTAGGGCGTAGTGTCATTCATTAAGTCAGCATCATATGGGAAAAACTTGTAATGATAACTTATTCCGAAATTCGACTTGGGCATTATGTTTTGCTTTAGAAATAAAAAATTGTTCGAGGTCACGTGATTACTTTCGCTACATGTCAAAAGTTAAATTTTTTCAAATCATCGCTGGAAATAGGATTGAATATTTGTTTGAATTCGAAAAAAGTTTACGAAGAAAAGTTGTTTTTATTCCAATGTTACATCATTTCTTTTACAACTTTAAGTTTCTAAAATTTTTTCAATTTCTCCGAAATGTCTGTGATATTAAAGAAAGATAACACCGCCAAAACTATTCCATTCTAGTAGCTTCATCATGCTACTTACTTTCAAAGGCTAATTGTCCTCGCCTCAAATTTCTGATTTCTGTCATGTATCTTCTATCATTCAGAAGCAAAATTTATTTACATTAATTTCATCAGTATACTAAAATGATGCCAAAGTCATCTATCAATAGTAGATTGTTTCATTAGGATCAAAAGTGACCCTTTGTTTGACAGACGACTTTTGCATATGCGAGGCTAGACGCTGAGCTGAGCCAAAGCAAAATTTGCGAGTCAAACAAAGTAACTTTTAATGCGAATGAAACCTGCAATTTTTTCTGCAACCGAAAGATTGAGCTAAAGTAAATATTTGAAGGAACCACCAATGTGACTCACCTAACCGATTATAATCTATCTTTATTATAATAATATGAGTAAGTAGATATAGAAGCAAGACTTCAGACTCTTTTACGTTATTACAATATGTGTATGTTACATGCATCATGTCATTCATGTCATCAGATAATACAGGCACGAATTCAATCTAAAGTACAACTTTAGCTCCTAGGAACTAAAAGTGTTGCCTAGCAACATACCTATGTTTGTGTCAGTAATAGAAACGTCAATTCAAGAGCTAATTTTGGTATCAAAATGGACGACTGTTGTGTCCGTTGCAGAAAAAATATTATCAATACCTGTCCAACCGAAGTTTAGGATAGCTTTCTCACCCTGGTTTTTTCTACGTAACCAAATTAGAAGGAATTAAAAAATATCACGAACCAAAAGGAATGAAAAGTATGTGAATCCGGCCAAGTATATACAGTATGATGCAAATGTATGGAATAAATTCATTTCAAAACAAGACGACTTCCGAAAAAATCCAAAAACTAGACTTCAGAACTTCATTAATTGATTTATTTTTTTAAATAGACGACCCTTCGTTGTTCAATTCTCAGTAGCAGACCCCTGCAAAATTCAGTTAATCAAATGATAAGCCATTTCGATTTCAATTTTCTTATGCAAAATGTTGACTGTTGAATAGACGATCAGTAGACCTTTCAAACGAGGTGTCATATGACCCCTGTTTTCATTTGAAAAAATCGTTCATTACGTCATTACTCCAACACCGGTGACGTAACATCTCTCATATGGATATCATGAGATGAGGCTTCAAAAATGAAACCTCACGTGTTTTTGGCATTTTTTAAAATGTCGCCCATTTCTGAAATAATGAATTTATTCCATACATTTGCATCATACTGTATAGGCCGCCATTAACCATCTTCTTTGAAGCAAAACTTATTGCCCAAGTCGAATATTGAAATGAATTATTCATGATAGTTTTTCTCATATGATTCCAACTTTATGAATGACACTCCACATTATGTATAATAGCGAATCAGGGTGGAGAATGGATGGTCTATGGTCTTGATTGTTTTAGTTTTTTTCAAATATATTTTCTCAAATGCTTCCCTCCTATGAGGTATGTACGTCAATGGTTATATCTTCTTTTCTGTGATTGATGTTTTAAATCGATCTTCTTGTGATCCATTTTCTTTACAGAACATCGAATTTATCGAAAATGTATAGACTGAATAACAGATTTGATTAATGAGAAACAAAAGAAATATAGTCTCTTTGATCTACGAAGTCTCTCCGAATATAATATGGAATCACTCATTATTTTTTGAGTCGTAAGGCTTGTTCATTTGTGCTTGCTCTAACTGCTGAACTTGACTTTTTTCTATGACTTTCTCTGTTTACATCATGTCATGAACAGAGACAACTATGGAAAAAAACAACTTCAGCAAGTTCAGCAATACAAACAACAAACAAACAGGCCTAATGGGTAATATGTAGGTATCATTAAAATTGAAACAACTTTTCTGAAAATCGATTTTTGAATTTTGATTAGGTATTCTTCCTCCTCAGGACCGATATTTTTCCCAACAATGGTTTCTTCTTGTCCCTAGTGTATATTGTCTTGCTTGATTCACGACTCACAAAGGCATTAGGTGGATACGATATTCAAAATAGTTACCAGAAGTTAAGCAACATGATTAAAAATTCATTAGAACAAATTGAATATTTTATTTTCCCAGGATTTAATATACAAATAAAAGACTATGTACAATTTGATATAAGCATTAACTAATCGTTATTAGAGTATATTAATTTAAAATGTACAAGGTTCACAAACTTTGGTGTTTCACATTGAAATCTCTTCTTATGCAAACAATCTATTTATAAATAAAGATTAAATAATAAAAATACATATTTCAACAATTTCATATTCAATGTAATAATAATAATAATAGTATATAATGATATAACAAACATACATTTGTCATTGATTAGTGTCTTGATTTTCAACATATCTATATAAGCAGTCTTGACAATTTTATACCTCTTAAACATATCGAACTACGAGTCGAACTATGTATAAAACAAAAAGAAAAAATAAATCATTCCTATTTATTGAATGCAAATATCGTGTTTAGGTGCACCTTTCGAATTATAACACTATAATCAATCACAGGTCAACAAATATTCCACAAAATAATAATTTGACAAATATTTGAAAACAAAATTGAAATAAGAATTATATAGGCACCTATATGTTACAGAGATCCAGAAAATAAATGATAATTAAAATTCATTGGTTTTCTTTTTTTTCCTTTTCCGATCGATTACTGATAATATATTCAATATTCACACCTTCCCTTGATATCAATTTTGGTTCTACACAAGAATTTCTATATTGATCAATGATAATTCAGCTGTGAATTTGAGGAGGAAAATCATGAGAGAAGGTGAAATAAACCCTTCATATTCTTCATATTGCAATAGAACATCGATAACAAGTAAAAAATGCCGAGTTCATATTAATTCTTTAAATAATTTGAGATAGAATGGCATTGAGGCAGTCGATGCCAATTCATTGTTCTAAATGACATTAATGTACTGACAATGGAAGTAGGAAATTATGTTAGAATTGAAAATCCGCTGAAACTGGAAGTATACTCATTCTTATTTCAAGAAGTTAGGTTCATTAGGTATTGAGAGGAAATGGAAAAACTAATGGAAAATGAGAATTGTTACAACCGGTATATATCATTTGAAACATTTTTATATCATATTATATTGTTCCTTCTATAGGATTCTGTTTCTTTAAATGAATCTATGTGGTTGAATTTCGAACAAATGTATGACAAGGAATAAAGAAAGAATATTTATATAAACCTATATTGCTCAAAATTTTATAGGGACACTTCGATTCGCACTTTATTCTTTGTTAGCCTGTGTACATACTGAATAACTCTTTAATCAATAACTCTCAATGATCTTTCTCAGTTTCCTTATTGAATTATTGGTTCAAGAGCTATTCACAGGGATCATTTTGAGTTGACTATAATAATGACCCCTGCCCATTTTATGTTTTGAATAATGAAAAAATAGTTGTTCCAAAGTTGCATGTCATAACATCAAATCTGGGTTGATGAGAAATTATGGATCTCGATAAACATATTTTTAAATCTACTTTGTCTATTCAGATTGCTGAATTCGAATAGATAAATTGGTCAAACAAACCATGAAACTAGAAGATAATGATCTGACATATTATATGTATGAACAAGAATTATTAAGACTCATTTATTTGGTTCCAAGGAGGTGTTTTGACGTCACATCCAAATACAACTCTAGTAAGGTATGAATAAATAAAGTGACAATCTGGCTTATCAAATATGATAATGTGAATCGAAAAGTGTATATAAATATATAAGTGATGTTCTGCAGTACGAACAACAGATCCATTTAGGATCCTGTTATATAATATCACTGAAACGAATGTTGAACCAAATATCCTAATTAATTGAATAACTCCTCAGCATCAAATATACATTTTTAAGGTGAAATGGTTAATATCACAGTTTTTTATATCATCTATATGATAACTTATATGAGAAACGTAAAGTTCTCTGCTCAACTCTCTACGCTCCTTCTGAGTAAATAATTTGGTTTACGCGAATTAGAGTTCGTTCATTCATTCTCGAAAATCGAACAAGTAAGGAAACTAACAACCTAACAACTAGTAAAGGTATTCGAATATTATGAAGAAAGAATTGTCATCATGAAAATCAACAATTTGATGCTGGAAAGCCTCCCAATTGAATTATTGCACTCAGATAACCAATTGCACTAAATATCCGTTCAAGTACTAAAGCATGTCTTACGAACTCCAGCTAAAATTTCACTAAAGTCATCTTCGTTCTTGGGCACACCATTTGTAGCCAACTCGTACACTTCCGGGCAGTGACCGATAAAAGGTTCAGGTTTCACATTACTATTAGGCAAAATCACAGACGTGTGCTGGGCTTGGAAGTTATATGACGCATTCGGATTCGTTCCATCGTTCCTATGGTAGTTATGATTCGAATCGATGGCATTCACCTCGGAATTACTGTATTTGAGGTACTTGTCAAACTCGCGAGTGTCCACATCGTCACTATCCACATCACTGCGTTCCTCACTGGGGTTGGGTATGTAACTTTGGACCAGATGGCTACCATCTTGGGCATACTCGTAAGAATCCTCCACAGCATTCGGTTTGTATGCGTGGAGATAGTCGGCCTTTTCCATGGCCTTCATGTGCTGGTACGCCAAGAACGAGTCCTTGTTGGGATCCTGATGCTCGTAAGAGATGTATTCCTTGCCATAGTAAGGCTGCATATTCGTGCTATAATACTGAAGGTTATTAGCAGCCACGGTGTTGAGGCTGCTATGGGAAGTACCAAGCAGTTCCTGGTCCTGAGACGTCGCAACTGGAGGATAAAACGTGCCTGTGACAATTTGCCCTTGCTCAACGCTGCTCTTATTCGCACACATTATATACAGGCCATTCGCCATCGGTACCGACGTTATTGGTTGGGTATTGGTATAGTTCGTGTTCGGTTGCCTATAGTTCTGCACTCTAGTGTTGTAGCTTTGTTGGGCAGGGCTGATACTGGTGCTAGGCGAGTGGTTTTGGATGGAGGCATTCCTCTGTTCGTCTTTGTATTGTTGGTACTGATCTTTATCCTGGTCCATAGGCGACAGATCCGGAGTTTTGCTACCTGCTACCTCCTTCTCTTCCACAGGACTTCCCGGTGTGTTTCTTGACTTAGGTTCGGGACTATGCGAGGGGGTGGTTTCTTCGGCACTTTGAATCGAATAAGGACTCTTTGGGTAGGTCTGGTACCCCACGTACCCATACTGGCTGTTGAACTTGTAGCTATCCGGGCTGAATCTCTTCTCCGCCGTGTAGTCGACGCTACCTCCAGGACTCGGGAAGTCCATTGGTGAGTAGGCCGTTTGCTGCTGCAGCGTAGGCGATAGGCTCGCGTTGGGGATGTAGCCTGCGTACCTGGGCGACATGTTCGGCAGACTGGGACTAGGGAGCGATGTTCCTACCCTGGGGGCTGGGCCGGAAGTGACGCGCTGTTTGTTGTGCTTCCTCCGTCGAGGTCGGTATTTGTAGTTGGGGTGTTCAGTCATGTGGATGACTCGGAGACGTTCGGCTTCCTCTACGTAAGGTCGCCTGTCTTGTGGAGTCAAGGAACGCCACTTTTTACCTGTAACAAGGAGAAATGTCTTGAACAGATGAAACGATTAGGTACGCCTATTTGTTTGTATGCGTGGATATGAATGAATGCGGCGGTTGTAGGTGTTCTATTCAGTAGCCGTGCGTAAGAACATAAAAACAGTATACAATATCCAAGAAAGTATTAAATTACCATGAATAGTTCAATATAAACAACCTGTGGCGGTCATTAAAATGTAAGGGCTATGCATTTTTACTATCAGAGGCGTGGAACTCGTATGCAGGTATATAACATGCTATTCTCAGATATAACTATGAACATAAAAAAATGGATGAATATAATTATAAAGAAACACATTGAGAATTCGCATTCTCTATGTGATGAAAATATCAATTCTTTCTCGGTTTATTCAACAGAAAACAACCACTTTCCTGGCTATATCCCATGACGAACATTGAATTATATCTATTGAACACACACGATAAGAATATCAATTTATCATACATCCAAAAAAAAACTTCCACTCTTGTTCAAACCTATCAAGAATCACATTCTGTTTTATAAGTACTATTTATTGGATCAAGACGGTGATATTCCAAAAATATTACATACAGGGTTAATAATTTTTTTCCTGAATAAATGATCCTTGAGAAATGTTGAAATAATGAATAGTTCCAAGTGATGTTTGTTGAAGAGGAAACAGTGCAGTGAACATGCATGAAGTCGATATCATTTTTGTCTGTTTTCATGAAAACTAACTTTGGAACTTGAGATCCGTTCTTCTATATCTATTTCGAGAATACAACTTTTCCTTAAGAAGAACAACTTCTCTTTCTGAATTAGATATAGGAAGATCGATGTCAGTGCTTGAGTTTGTTTGAGTCAGTTTTCAAGATAAAAAATAAAGGAAGAAATAACAAAGCAACTAGTTGCAGCAACTTTCGAGAACATAAATTCCATCTATCTAGTTTCATTTGATAGAACTTCCTCTTTGAGAGTGTCCAATGTGGGCCACCCATATACCAACATAATATACCTATGTCATGAATTCTTTCAATTTGGGACTTATTAATCATCACATGAACTCGAGAATACTATCATATATATTTTATTCTGTTGAGAACTCATGAATCAGGTTGAACCTACTCAAGAATTTTCAAGCTCATTATATATAGATTATAGCATAATAATATGATGCATATTTTTGTTGTTGGTAGCTAGAAGATTCGTTTTCTGAAACCTATTACCAGAGATACAAATCAAACTAGTATGTTCGAATCTCCTTGTATACATGCATACACTTTTTTTGTTGCAATTTACTCTGTTTCTACTCCAGTTTGGTTGGTGTAGCTCTAATATGTATCATTTAGACAATTTCGAAAAATTCCATAAATGGTTTGAAAATGAAAATTTGATATGAAGATCTACGAAGTAGACCTGGGACATGTTTTTTGTGCCACCTGTTAACTATATTTGCGGTGTCATTGGCGACCTCTTACACGAAACATTCCTCCTTCTGGCTACGCCCTTGTGAGTCAGGTCTTTTTTTTATTTCGGTGTGATCTCCTACAGTTTGGCTACTTTACTATGATAATGTTCATGTGGAGCCTAAAGTAATAAGTGGACCTCCCGTAGATATCTTGCATTAATCATACAGGTAGGTTTAGAAGAATTCAGATATTAGGTTCAACTTCTTTGATCGAATAGGTATACTAGAACGATCGTCTCCATTTCGCTCAGCGAAAGCAGTGTGAAATAGAAAAATGCTTGATTAAGTAAGGAATTGAACTTAAATGAGGATTTGGTTCGTATTTTGAATGATGCATAAGGGTAGGTGGGTTAGATTCCCACTACGATCGCAGAAATTTTTCTGATGGCCAAAAAAAAAGTGTTTGGGATCACACGTTAAAAGGTAGGACTCCCGTCATTCCTTGGGCGCACAAGTCTCTTGAAGACATTTGAGGGTTTCTCGTAAGGGGGCAACTGTAACCGAATGATGGATAAGAACAATTCTAGAACAACATGATATCTTGCTGAAATCCATAATTAATTCGATCGTTGATGAGCTTTCATTTTTCCTTTCTTTCGCTTCAATTTGCATTATCACAATTCTCATGAGTGTTGAAAATGAATCAGGACCTACTAAGTAGAATAAAGTCATGTTCTTGTTTCTATTCAAGAAGGCTGTAGGTTTGTTCGAGGTATATTCCGACACATTGCCTTCATGGAAAAGTGCATTTTTAATTCCCCATATTTCAGACCTCCTATTTTCGAAATAGTTATCGTCCGCATTAATGAAACTTTATGACACAATGACACCTGTGAACGAAACACCCCTATTAAAATAATTTATATCGAGTCGATGTCACAATATATTCATATTAAACACGCTAGGACCACGCGTAGGTCGATGCAATCACCACACATAGAAGGAAGAAGAAGGGTACAACAAAAAGTGATAAAAAGCAATAAATAAGCGGAGCATCTCGTTAATGAAAAAATATTGCATCCGAACCCTGTATACGTTTGACGAATGCTTTTTTAAATGGACCTTGTTGGATGGGTCTGGGCTATTCCGATGTGTGGACACTTTGTTTGGTAAGAGACCGCTTCAAGTCGGCTCGACTGGTCCAAATTTTACACCTGAGGACATGAGTAATGGTACTGAGAATGAATAAATCGCTGGTAATCATCAACAGGAGCAAAGGCGACGCCAGCGGGAAAGCTAGGGGGATCATAATAAAAAATTGAGGAGAAAAATCAAATAAGAAAATTAAAAAACGGAAAAAAATCTATATAGAAAATCAGTTGAGAAATAGTCTAGTCTAGTCTAATAGTCTTCTAGGGTTCTTTGCGAATTCGTTGGTCACTTTGTTGACGAAATCGTTTAAATTTTTGAAAATATGTTGCATGTGTACATTCATCATCCAGCGTAGCCTCGTGGTTAAACCGTCAATGTTCTATCGGGGACCGGTCAGTTGGACCACGAGTACCTGCATTAATCCTTTTTTGAAAAAGGTCGAGTTAAGCCCACCCTGCAGTTCGACCAGGTTGAAATTTTATTTTCTAATCGATTTAATAGAAGTCTTCCAGTAACGTTCAAACGTTTTATCAAGCATATTTATCCTTCATAAGTATCTAGCTAATTTTGTTCGATTAAGAAATGTAACTGCAACAAAAATGGATTTGAAGTGTATGATCAGTGAAAAAGGACACAAATTATTATTACTGAATAATTTTCTGAAGCTCATGTAGCAAAATGCGGAAAAATTCGTTGGTGGTGTGTTAACAGAAAGTGTTCTTTTAAAATGTATACCGAGGAAGACGAAATAACTATCTTACAAATACATCTAGAGCATAATCACATGGAAGATAGTACTCTTGAAAGGCAACAGGTTAGCAATGCTTTGAAAAGGCAGGTCTCCAAGCTAATTCATAAGGAATTACAGGTGTGTTCTTTTTATTATTATTACCATGCACGCTTCATTTAACTTCATGTGTTTGTTTATTTATTTATATGTTTTTATTTTTGCGCTTTTATTTTATTAACTTAACTATCGCTAAAATTTTTATATTTGTTTTCAACAGGATAACGAAATTACTGGAGAAATGATATCTTTCGATTTGGAATGTTTACGGCGTAATATTATATGTATGTCGCTGGTCGCAGTGTTTCACCAATACATCCTGAAAATCAAAATGAAGTGTATGATACACTCCTGGACATGCAACCAGAAACTAATAAAGCTGAGGAATTCTTAAGTGTAGTTGATAAAGAAAATGGTGTTATTTTGCTCATGAAGTAGGAAACTTTTTTTCTGAAGAAATTCATTCAATAATGCCCAGTAATCCAAGTCTATCGAAATTTTGCGATTATATCGTGGAAACTTATATCGGTGAAGAAAATAATTTTTCTCCAAGTATGTGGGCTTGTACTACAGATAGTATGAACAGGACCACAAACGCGTGCGTCAATCATTTCATTCTCATTTTTATTGTTCTCACCCAAGTTTGTTTAATTTCGTAAATATTTTAATAAACTTTCAAGCAGAAACATATACTGAAATGCATTCCGTGAAATGTTCCACCAAAAAACTGAAAAGTGCAACACAGCAAAAAAATATTTCATCAAGCTAAGATATCAGAATATAGAAATGGCCTTTTACCACAAAATGATTTTGTAAAAATTATGTCTTAATTCTATATGTTAAGAAAATAGTGATTGTTTTAATTCTTAGAATACAACCTTAATCCGCTCGAAGAGCGGTCGTGGTCCAACTGATCGGTGGACTTAAAACAGGTACCTGGTCCGTGGTCGAACTGTCCAACTCCCATTCTATCCACGTTGGATTTAGTGGGTTCGATTCCCACCACGACCGTAGAACATTTTCTGATGGCCTAAGAAAGTTTTTGGGATAGCATGTTTAAAGGTAAGACCTCCGTCATTCTTTGCTCGCACAAGTCTCTTGAAGACTTCTGAGGGTTGCTCGTAAGAGGGCAACCGAATGATGGATAAGAACAATTTTAGAACAACACAACAATCATTGCGATGCCATTGAGTCGGGCATCAAACATGATGGTCCTCAACCAAGTCTTGATTCTTCTAAGGCTACTAAATGATCTTTCAACTTTACAATGTCTCACAAGGTGAAGCAACAAGGATCTTCAAAGCCTTATGCTTTCGGAAGTTCTTAGCTCAAAGTGAGCGTTATAGTGATCATCTGAATGGTTTTGTCAGTTTTTGTGAAAAGTAGCAAATATCTGGGATATGACCTCCAACTCTTTCTTTTCTTTTCTTTTCATTTTTTTCAAAAATCGACAGAACCATTCAAAAGATCACTAAAAAGTACCATCATAATGTTGAAGTCATCTTTTTATACACAATCGTTAGTTTTCGCTATATTCGGGAAAAACAAAATACAAAATTTCAGTTTCTCTTGAATAACTCAGAAA